CCCACCCGGTTTGAGACTGGGCTCAACTAGCGTCTAGCCCAGCCCAGTCCGCCTGCTGGCCAGGCCTGTCTGACGTGTCTGAAACTGGCCTCAGGCCCAGCCCAGCCATAGCCCAGCCCCCTCAGTGCGGCTGCCCAGCCCGCCGTAAACTAGCTTCAGCTCAACCAACAACCCACGCAAGCAAGGTCCAGCCAAGCTGCCCGAGACTAGCTTCAGGCCCAGCGCAGGCTTATCTGATGTGTCTGAGACTAGCCTGTGGCCCAGCCCAACCAGGCAAGGCCGGCTTGTCTGACTTGTCTGGAGCCAGCTTCAGGTATTCGGACCTTCCCAACACTGGATTTCGGTGTTCCTGACCCTTCCCTCAAACTAGGCTGGGCCGAGGCGGGCAACGCGAAGCGTTTACAATTATACCCATCCCTTTTTGGAGATTGAGCAAAGGCTGTTTGACGCCCAGCTTCTTGAGCTTCCGCCTTCTTCTTCATCTTCTTCTGAAGCTTCTTCCTGAGACTTGGGTGTGCAAACCGCCCACCAACCAACCAGAGCAAGCAAGCAATCAAGCAAGCAAACAGTCAATCTGGGCCACATAACTTTCGAGAGGTGGGAGAATGCCAAAATGCCACTCAAAACGAACAAAGGCCAACTAGGTCCAGACTCTTCCTTTTCTCCTCCAGTTTCAAGAACTTTTTCTTCAGCTTGTTCTCCTTCTTCATTCGCTTCACCTCATCCATCACGGATTTGGCGTCTTGGACCAAGTCCTCAGCCGAATTTGGGGGTCCCTTGAACATGTTGAGGGGGTCTCAACATGACTTTCGGGGGGGTTGATGGCAATCTGGGCGTTCATGGAGCCAGCACTCTTCCACCCACCCATTCGCACTGAAATTGACTTCGAGAACCATTTTCCTTTCTTCAAGGAACTATGAGGGTCCAGCTAGGTTGCACATTGAGTCGATGGGCGAATATGGTTTCTTGATTTTTTTGCAGCGCCGGTACATGCAATGAAACGTTGCCAATCATGAAGCATATGGACTGGACCTTGCGTCCTGCCTCCGTTCGCTTCTTCTTCTGCTTGCCCCCGTTGGTCGGGAGTCGCCCCTCGCGGTTCTTTGGGTCCAGATCCTCCCCAGTCGCCTGGTTCACATATCCTCGGCGCCCCACACTCGCAGCTTGGTGGAGAACAAATCGGTGGATCAAACGGACCTCCCCCCAAAACGTGAAACTTCTTGCGTGTTGCTTGGGAAAGCACTCTTGCCTGTTGCTTGGTGGAACAGTCAGTTTCCGCACAAAAAAAAGGAAAGGCTGAAGTGGAAGGTCCATGCAAAAAGCGACCAAGGAAAAGGTAACGGGGCACTAGGTGTGCACAAGTTCCCTCAATTTCGCTTCCAGCGTCCATCGGGACGAGCATGTAGAAGTACATATTTTCCACTCATCCGACTTTCCCGCAAGGAATCAAACCCAACAAGTAAACACGTCCATTTACAAGTGATGATGGGAGCAGCTTGTAAGCTGGTAGAGTGTTCAGGGGCGGCCTGCTTGCAATACGCAGGAAACCAAGCGTTACGGGGGTATTCTGTAAGGCAACTTTGAGGAAAAAGTCTTGTCAGGCACAGGTTCCATGCGTTTGTCGTGTGGGGATGATGTAAGTGACGCTAGTGTGGGCCCTGCGGTCACCTAATATCTTTGCCAGATTTACGCCAATCGCCACTTGCCTTTTCTCGGTGGCGAATGCGGGCCTGTGGCAAGTTTATGTTTTTTTTGGTGCGCGACTACCGAGTCCGGCAATTTGGCATCGAATGAAGCAACATCACGCTGCCAAGTCGCTAAGGTCCAAGCCGTACTTGCCTTCCTCCTCCTTCAGGTTGGCCACCTGGACGCCATTGGGACAAAGGCCAGGGAGAGCCGTCCCCCATGGCCCAACTGGCACAAAGCCGGGGGTGGCCAAGACTTGCCAACCCACAGTCCAGTTTTCAACTCATGCTATTGTACGCAATTGGCGCGACCCGGCTAACCATTCACAGCCCATGCTGTTTTGAGACGGTTTCAGTGTACATGGCCCGAACTAGATGTGGTTTTCATTTAGCTGACCTGACATGGGGAGTCAGGCAGCTCCTCTCGGTTCAAAGCAAGCCAGAGCTTCAGTGGCAAGGCTTGCAAGTTGCCCCTGCCTTGGCCCAGACTTTCTCCCCCAAATCCAAGAAGTCGGAGACGTCCCTCACCCGACCCGAGGCGATGTTGGAGATGTGTACCAGGCCGTCCTGCGCGCTGATTGCCAGGCATTGGGCCCAAGGTTGATGATGATCTGAAATGAAGTCAAGTTGCATCCAAACAAGCAGTCAGTGTTCAGCCAAGGAGATTCTGCATATCAGCTAGCCATCAGCGGCGCTGTTGTGATCCTACTGACGGTCTTGAGGCCGCTCTCGGTTGGTGGCTGAGATTGCCGGGAAAACTTGAAAGATCAATCTCATCTGGACATCTGCTTGGCAAATTAGATGTCCGTGATTTGCACTCTGGTTTAAAAGTCACTTACTTACGTTGAGCTAAAACGTAGGGGGGTTTATAAGAATTAGAGCCAAGGATTAGGCGACCACGCCAGCTGGGTCGACAACCGGACCGCAGGAGCGTACATCGCACCCCTTCCCCAGCTCCTTGTACACATCACCTCAGACTTGCATGCGTGCATTGGCAAATGGGCAGCAAGGGCCTGGGCCCAAGATCGGCGCTGTGAAGGTGTACTGATGTGTATGTATCGTATGCATATAGATATATAGATGTTTATACATCATATAGGCAGGTGCGTGCATTCTTGTTGAACATCTGAACCGGTACAAGCTCCGTTTAATGCATCGCCGATTCAACTCCTTGCTGCCAAAATGTCAACTTGACGGTTCTCGTCTCAAATATGGCTGGTGCGCTCACAACATACAAAGAAAACACAGTTGAACGCATGGTCTTCTGGCCGTGGCACCTTTGCCAATGCGAATGAAGGCGCCAAAGGGGCGAATGGACGCCACCTGAGCAAGAAAGCACGGAGCAAGAAAGCACGGAGCAAGAGGAGAATAGACTATAGCCATGCTTGAATTGAACGGGTGCCTTCAGCTGGTAGCTTTGATTATCAGGCACTGGCGTACTGATTGAGGTCCTGCCGCATAATTCAGCCATGTCAGGTTGGCGAGCAATAGGTGCCAAGCATCCAACACATTACAAGCCACACTCAACCCAGAATCAGACAGGGTTCAGCAGATGGTAGTTGTGAAATCCAGGTCATGCAAGGATCTCAGCTGGGATTGCGCAACAGATTGACGGCGTCACTTAAGAACCTAATTCCTGATATATAGGAGGCATATTTCAGCGTTGTCTTAACGTGAATTAAGCGATGAATGTGTCCGAACCCTGCGGATGGGTCAGGAGATTGGCACACTTGATGCGGGGCATGACCCCGGAAGGATCCTCCGCATGAATCTGGAGATTGCGTCAGTTTCTCAGTCAGAGACCAACAGCCACATGGGTCAACTAAGGAGGATGCAGCCTGATGACCGTAGCCCGGCTTTAGGCCAATTCCTGACGAGTCGTTCAATCTCATCCAACCCTTGCAATCGTAGAAGTGGGGTGGGGGTTGCTCTTAAAAGGCCCCGCTTTGCACTTCCAGGATTGTTGCACAAGGGGTGGACCTGGTGTCAATCTTCCGCACATGTTCCAACAAGTCCAAGCCTGAAATCAGGGATCCGCAAGTAAAATCCCAGCATCATCGTGAGCTCGTCAAACTGCCAGGTTCAAGTGCCAATATGAACCCCTGAATAAAACCCCATCCAACCCAAAAGGTACCCCTGTTTAATTACATTAGGCTTAGTTCTCAGGGGTTCGCGGTAGTGCAGCAACAGATCATTCCCTAACATGTACAATGCTTCCTGTGGAATTGGCCCCATGGGGCCCAAAGACTTTGTCCGAAGTTTGGGCGGGCGCCCTCAGCTCTCCCTCAAACAAACCACTGGCTAGAACTGGCATGTCCCAACAAACATAAAAGTGCACAGCCTCAACGCTCAAACCAATCTAATGTTCCTAAAAAGTGTCTGTCCACTTCCATGCGTGTTGCTGGAGGGTGAGGCCATGCCCGATTCTACAACTGGTTTGTTCGAGACCGGGGTGGGGTGGGACAGAATCAGGATTGACCTTGAACAAGCCAGCACCAACACTCGTCTGAATAATAAAGCTGCTCCCGCAGTGGAGCGAGGCAACCATCAACTCCATTTTGTGCGAAAGGGGCTGTTCTCCAAACGAGGGCGTAAAATATCTTCATCTGAGCAGCAGTGCCCTGGTGAATGCTGTGCAACTCCGGCAGCTTCGCATCGCCTTGCTCTTCCCCATCTTCTCGCTCCGGCGGAGGCTCTGGACCCGACATGGCACCCGAGTGGGGATGCCCGGGACAGGGTTCCCCAACAAATACATGCACAAGTCACCTGCTTCAAAAGGGGACCCCACCGGATTTCCATGTGTGACAAGCATGCATCATGTCAGCAACCCTGCTAAGTGGAAAATGGAGGCAAGTTGAAAACCACAAAGGGGCCACAGTGGTCAATGGCTGCCTCAAGTGCGTCTGGTTCTTTACTGCCCTGCGCTAAGCAAGTCGCAGCTTGCCCTAAATGTGTCGGACTGGTAGGGTCAAGGCGTTGCATTGAATTGAATTCTCCCTCCATGAAGCAATCGTCTTATTCGTCTAAACCTGACTGCTTGCACTTGCCGCCAAGTTGGTTCCTCAAAAAGCCCATGGCCAGTTGATGTGAGGCGAATAGCGGGAAATGGGAACGATTTCACTTGAGAGGTGAGGCGCGATGCCTTTGAAATGACCACGTGAAGGGCGGCGCGGATAGAAAGTAAAGATCGCTTTCACCTCTATCTGTCTGCGACTCTTGAGCCATGGCCAAGACAGCCAACAACAACAAGGCAGCATGAGACAGAACTGGGGCCCCGTAAGGTCCTCAGAAGCCTTGGGAGTCCCTACTTGTCGCCTGGGGCTGGGCAGCGGCATCACCTCGAGGGGAAGGCAGCGTTGCGGATTCAGCGAGCGGTGACCAAAGTTGGTCAGAATGGCAGACCCTTTCTTCGATGCCACAAAAGCAAAACCAGGTTTACAGGGAAAACAAGTTGAGAAACACCTGAAGTGCCCCTTACATCATCTCTAAACGACCTCACAGGCTGTTTCAAACAGTGGCATTTCATATCCGAATTGATCCAAATGCTGATGTCCGCAGCCAAAATCTGCCAGCAGTGAAAAAGGGAAACACGTATATCTCATCTTTTGATCCTATCTCAACAATTCAAGCAACAAAGCCCGGCGGAATTGAATGGTTCATTCGGCGGGCGTCCACTAAGCAAATCGCTAAAAACATTACCTACGCAACTGCAAATCCAGGCAATGAGATCCCCCTGCACCCGTCATAACATCAGCGGCACCTCTTCTATTAGGATGACGTGAGGGGAGCTTGCGTCGTGTACGATCGTAACGTTGCAGTTACAACTGGTCAACTATCATAGCCCTGCATTGCTTGCAAACCACCAATCCAATAGGGTCACTTGCCAACACCATCCCAAGCAACCAGCCTGCTTGGATGAACGGCACCGCTGCCAATCAATTTGAACCCGCAGCCGCACCAACTGCTGCAACCATGCCGTCTCAAGATGACAAGCCAAACAGCCCGAAGTCACAAGCTGTGCACTACACGTATCCAAATCTTTCGGAACCAGAAACATTCAGAAATATCCAGATTTGGGGTTGGGCTTGGGCTTGGTGGCTCGCAGGTTTGCACTTCGCGGTTCCAAATAAGGATTAAACAACAAAACAGCGGCCAACCATGTGGAATAGCCCCACAACAATCAGCCATCAAAATCCTGGGCAAATGAAGGCTGCAGGTTGGGCGTTTGGGTTCTGTGCAGAACTCACTCCCGTGTGCCCCAGGTCCGCCTTTGCTCCAGTGCCATGCGTTCCCAAGGAAAAGCCAGCTCAAGTCCGGTGTCAAAGATGGTGAAATGGGGCTCTACCAAGAAAAGGCAAGTTGCTGCTAAAAAAATAACAACTTAAAAAGATAATCATTCCAACAATTCCCGAATCTTTGCACTCACTTTATCAGTGGGGTTCAAGCCAAACACCACACACACACACACACACACTCTGCGTTGAGGTGCGCACAGCTCCTGGGAACAGCTGTGTTGAACATATCTCACCCCTGAGCCTCACAAAAGGAAGAAAGAGTGGATCCTTTTGGAATGCACCGGAGGAACTCAGGGAGTTTGCAGTGGCTGTTGTGTGTCCTGTCAGCTTCTGGGTACGCTGCATTGAGCCTAAATCCTCCGCCCGGCCAGCGTGGGTTGTAGCCGCGCATCCAACTTGGCATCTTCCAAGCAATGTCTTAGGCTTGCACCCCCAAAACTACAAAGCGTTGCCCTACGTGCAAATGCCCAACACTCCTTTTTCAAGGTATTCAATTTCAACAGGGGCCTCTGCACTTCCGTGTTTGTTGGTGAAAGGGTGGCAATGGCAAGCAACGCAAAAGCCCGCTGCAGTGGCTGCAACAAAGTGCCACTAGTAGGATGAAACAACTCCGCACATACGGCAAAGCTATAAACCACTCTCCCTGGTCCCTGACATCGCGCACTTGCGCCTTGAGAACCAGGATAGCTCCTTGGATTCCACGCTGCTCTTGCAGTTGTGCCTAAGGATTCGCATGGGTTCCTCTCAAAATGGACCCCGTAATTGAGTATGTGTCAAAGTAGGGCTACCGGAAGAGGGTGGGTTTTCCTTGTGGTTTCACTTCCAAGCAATGTGAAAAGGGTACCCGCAAAGAATACTGCGTTGTCGTTCAACGGCGAGGAGCCCGTGCCCTCTCATGGCCTTGAGTCTCTGAGTTGCCACCCCCACACCCAGCAATAGAGTATCACCCCGATGGTGGTGCGCAACGCATACCGCTTTGCCAGCTTTCCAACTCATCTAAGCAACAAACCTCAGCGTCGCGCTTTGCGGGCTTTTAGTCAATGGATTTCGGCTCGGAGAGATCTTTGAACGGCACAAGTGCACAAGTGCCGAACGCGGCCAATCCCTTGGGGATGACTTGCCTGAACTGAGCCCAAGATTCCTTATGGTCATGTCTCAAAGGGGGCGAGCCTCGCTTTGCTGCTGCCGCGTCTGGGCAAGTACTGTTAATCTTGATTGATACACCTCCACATTGCAAATTAGGGCCCCATACGGGAAGAGGGACTAAGCAAGATATCTCAGTAGAAAGGGATCCTATGATGAAGAGATGGGGAGGTGTGTGGATCGGGGGCAAACATCAGCGAAGCGATTCAGAAACTTTCAAAAACGCAGCCTGAAGAGTCAATATTACCAACCCCCCCAAAATATGTAAGCAAATCTTTCCCGGCGGCCGCACGAGTTTGCAGTTGGGCCTGCCCGAATATTGAAGTCATAGTTTTGTCCCAAATTCCCGCCTGCATACCACACGTGATGTTAACCCAAAGGCCACCTTACACACTTGGTGGCTTGAGTGACGAATGGAAGTGAATGAAAGTGCCACTTCACCCACCCCAACGTCTACCATGGAACAGGCGACGCGTACCAATAATGAAACCATTTCTGAGGCAATGATTCGCTAGCGCCAACCAAGAAACGCCTCCGAGAGTAGCGAGAGCCCACGCAGGGGGCAAGCAGCAAGAAGAGGACCGAGCAAGACTTGACAGAAACACCCGCCATGATACCAACTGGTCTATGGTGAGAAGTGGATTTCTTTGATATTCTCGCTTGAACCTGGATTGCCTAGGACAAACACTTTTTTTTATGCTGTATCAAGCTTGCGAGGGTGAAATCGGAATTTGTTGCTCAAGGTCAGGCCTTGCAAAGCTGGCGAAAAGGCCAGCGGAACTGGTGATTGTTTCTTGGTCACTCACGTTTCCGCCTTCCTGTGAGTTTTTCTGATGCACTTCAGCTGATGCATCTTTTCCAGGGTTCCGTCAGCCGGGTGCAAACGCCAACATATCCCGCAAGGGGCAAACATGTCCCAAGCCGGCCCCACGGGAACCAACCACAGGCGGCAAGGTGAGCCCATACCTCACGCATCCTCACTCTGCATCAGGACCTCGACCTCGGATCCGAAGTCATGCGGACTCGTGGTCCAAACTGAGCCCAACTCCGATTTTTCATATGGGTGGGGGTCAAAAATAAGTGCCTAAAATGGAACACACATGGACTAAAACCTGCGGAATTTTGACCCATAGCCATATTCAGGGAAACCACAGCAAGAGGACCAAGGAGTGGTTTTCCACCGCCCCAGCACCTGACCTGCTCCGTTGCCACGGGCAATGAAGGCATCATGTGACCATTCCAGTTGGGAAGCAAGCAGTGTGCATTTTGTTGAGGGTATTAGTCTTGTATTTATGGGGGGCAAATGAGGAACGAACCATTAGGGCCACGCCATTTAACTCCAAGACAACTCCACATGCCGCATGTGGCTTGCTGTCGGTTCTCTGAAGTTCGTGCGCTTGTCTTGCGTCGTTACTGCAGGAAGTCAATCTCGCAGAAACAATGGAGACCTGCCCACAAAAGAATGGTGATTGCATGTAAGCCTTTATCACAAGTGGTCAGTGATCACCGAGTTGCCCACTGATCCCGTGACTTTAGGGATGCTCGATTGCAAGCGTCAAGTGCCCCAGGTAGGATAAGGACATGAAGCATTTTCAGCCCTGCAGCGACTGCCAGGCGCTTGCGACAAAAGAGTGTGCTGCAACCGCACATTGCAGAAACCGGCAACCAACAAGTCAGACTGGTTCAAAAGTTGGATAGCTTGTGTGCTTGACATGTTGCAATTTAGCTCACTGCATGTCAGCCACCTCAATGATCGCACCGCAACGCACGCAACGAACCATTTCGTCAAAAGGGTGTAGAACCTTGAGCTACGGCCATACAAATGGCTCGTGGCACAATGCATGCAAGGAATCTTGGGAATCTTGCGGCTTAAGAATCTCGCGACTCTTTCGCAGGGGTCGCGTCACCCCGGAAGTGCTGCCGGACATTTTGCCTATAACATCCCGTAGCCGAGGCCGAAAGGGCGCAAGGACTCTCGAGCTTCCGTGCGGGAAGCTCGCCCAGGTTCTCCTTGTCCAACCGTGCCCAGGCCTTGTGCTTCGCAACCGGCAGGCGACAAAGATTCTTCTCCTGGAAACCAAATCAATAAATGAAGGGCATCCTTTTGGCATAGCTTTCACAATAGTTCCCATTTTTACTGCTTTCGATGCCATCTCTGATGTCTCTCTCAGTTAAGCGGGGACGCTTCGAGCAGTGGCAACAAGGCCTTGGACACGTCTCATATGCCTAACAAAGCCGCTCTCTGCCAGCCTCAGGCACGCCACGCACCCGCTCCCCAACCCATTTTTGTCGTGTGGTTCTCTTGCTTTTTGGGGGCGGTCAGGTTCACAAATGAACAGAACAGGTGCGTGGGACAATGGCTCATTTGGGGGTCTGAGGCTCTTTGCCGTGAAGACGCAGTCGTCGTCCAGCTCCTCCTGTGGGCTCTCCGGTCTGGAAAGCATCTGTGGCCCCGAAGCAAAGAAGGCAAACCTTGACAGATCGAGCAAACAGAACACCAGCTTCTGACCCATACAACAATTAGGTCCTCCAGTGAAGAGGTTAGAATAAGGGTACCAACTTTTCTGCAGTCTATTTTAGTAGGGGAACGACTGGGGCACCTAGACCAAATGCAGACCAAGACTTGATGCCCTTCACGCACCGTGCCAAGCTTCATCACAGCTTCGTTCCTGACCACATGTCTTACACGCGGCGAATGAAGATAGAACCTCAGAACACTGTAAAGGAGATGACATTTCCAAAAACGCGATTTGTTCGTCCCATGTCCATCAGCGAAATCTACGGTGCAAAGTTGGACAATAGACGCGGGCGGGCAGAGCTGCATCTCCGAGACCCAGCAGGCGGCCGGCTTGCTTGAGCATTGCAAGTTGAAACGGGTGTAGGAGAGCAAACGCATATCAATACCTAGCAACCTTCCACTACTGTAAGGGGTTGAGGTCCTCAAAAGGCGTTGTCCGCGCCAATTACTATCTCACTGCTTTTCTGGTAGCCAAAGATGAAGCTGCGCTCTGTACTGCAGTGGCCCTGCTGGCTTGCTGCTTGCAATGGCTGAAGACTCTAGCGCATTGAAGGCCAAAGCATCAAAATTGAATCAGAATTGGCCACGCATACCCCCAAACAACTGTTCAGCAACGCAGGCACATGACAGGGCTCCGAGTAGCGTGCGATAGGTGTCCAGGCCCATCGGAGTTTGTTCTCATAATTCTTGGCAAATCACCTACCTCGCAAAGTGTCCTCTTCATCCCGAAGCAAGGCATAATATGGCTCGAGGAGGACTCGGAAAAACCGCTGAATTCTTTCCAGGACCCTTCGTCATCGGCCCACGCTAATCCACCAAACAAAAAAATGGCACCCTTGGCACCCGCAACCCGGACGGCCTCTGAGACCATGAGCACCTCCCGCACCACCTGGTGCCATTCCTCAGGCGAAAGTTGACTTGAAAGTTGACGGAAAACGGGGGCCGCTAGACCGCTGGAGCATCACCCGATGCGTTTATAACCCAGCTGTCAAAATAGACACTGCAAAAGGGCACAGGGTTCTTTACTGCCGAATCTCTAGCACTGAGTGAATGGCCAAAACAAGTGAACTATAGTTGTCTGGGCCCTTCCAAGAAAAGGGTGCTCAACGTTTCCCAGAAGGCATCACCTCATCCAACGAACATCCACTTGCCTGTTGGCCCAATTTGACATGGCTTGTTGTCACATGCTTGGCAATGCCCAAAGTGCAAATGCTACCTCCAACCATGAAATGCTTTGCTCGCTCCTTAAATATTCTTGCATTTCCACACCCAAAGGGATCTTCAAATTAGCAACCAAAGGTTGCTGGCCAAACTCCAGTCCGTACCCGACTTCTTCCCTCCCAAATCCACAAACAGGAATTTGGGACGTGCGGTGAGCCAAAAA